TCCTTGCCCTTACAAACTCCTTGGTTCAACTCCACAATCTTGTCGGAGGATCCCAAGTGACACCTAACCAATCTAGGAGACACCACTCCCCAAAAGGTAATAGATGTTGTGTTGGTGATGAACTCCTTGCTCTTGTGCTTCAAATGATAGTCTCCCAACACTCAACTCTCTCTCTCACACACACACATTTGGATTTGGTGGAAAGATGATTTGAGTGGAAAGCAACTTGGGAAAGGTTAGAGATCAAGTTTCTTGTGGTTGGAATGGAATATCTCTGTCTCAACACATGAGTAGGTGGTTTTCTCTCAGAAAATGTATGCTGGAAGTGTAGGAACATTCTGATAGCTCTCTCCACAAATGGAGGATGGGTGGAGGGGTATATACAGCCTCCACACAAAATCTAATAGTTACACACAATTTACCAAACTCGGTGAGACCTAATCATGAAACTCGGTCAGACCGATTTGGTTCAAAATTTGAACACTAGGATTTTTGGTGGGACTGACATGTCAACTCGGTGGGTCCGATTTCCTTATGGTTAGGGCATAACGTAATCTCGATGAGACCGATCACATAAACTCGGTAGGACTGATTTCTGTAATAGGCAAACAAAGAGTTGGTCATGCAAACTCGATGGGACCGAATCGCTCATTTTGGTGAGACCGAAACATTGCGAAAGGGAAACAGAGAGTTTGCATTGCGAACTCGGTGGGACCGATCGCTCATCTCGGTTGGACCGAGACGTTACGAAGGAAAACAGAGAGTTCGCAATCCCATCTCGATGAGACCAAGATCCCTATCGGTGAGACCGAAGTGACTAGGGTTTCTCACAGTGGCTATGTTAAATGAACTTGGTGGTGCTGGAAAGATAATTTTGGTGGGGCTGAGTTTGACTTTTGGTTTGGGACATATGTGGATTGAGAAAGTGGTTGAGGGGTTTTGGAGCATATCACTAAGCATTTTGAGCAAGCAAGACATTAAGCAACACCCCATCCCCTTTTAATAGTATTGGTTTTTCCTATGAACTCAATGTGATCTTAGATCACTAAAATGAAAATGTAGAGTCTTGAGATTGAGCCAATATGTGTTCGTAGCAATTTGAGGGGTCCACATTCCTAATCCATGCCATGCCAATCATTGAATTTTCTGAAATGATCATCATGAAATAGCTTTAGTTCAATGAACTATATTTTGTTAGGAATTACCAAAACCACCCAGGGATAGTTGTACTTTTAGTTTGTCTATGTATTCACGCATGTACTAAGTTTCCGGTTAATACAATTCTAGCATGAATAATAAACATTTATCATGATATAAGGAAATATAAAATTATTGCCTCTAGGGCATATTTCCTTCACCATCTAGATTCTAGGATCAAAAGATCCTTTGATACATCATGACTGCTTGCGTTATTATGCATAATACGATCATTGAGAACGACCGTGGAAAAAATTTAGATTACAACTTTTATCACTTGATGTGCATTCCTGTTAACCCCATGCGAAAAGAACAGCGGATCAGACATTTCATGGAAGGTGTACAGCAAGATTAGAGACACCGATGTGCATGATCAACTCTAGAAAGATTTGATGGAAAAGCAATTGGAAATGGAATGGCGAAATAGTCGTATAGTTTCATTATTTGTTTGTGAAAAACTATGTTGTATTTGTGTTGCATTTGATCTCGTGGATTTGAAGAACTATGTAATAATTTGATATCGTGGGCATGTATAATTTTTTATGTTCTTTTTAGATGTTTTTTGCAATTTGTGCGGTTGTACAGTGGCTGAACAGCAGGCGCGCAGCCACCAGCCGGTTTTACATCTTCGTTTTGAATCATCTGTTGAAGTTGCTCTTTTATTTACATCACTGTTTTGGACCATCTGTTGAAGTTGAGCCTTTTTCGAATATATAAAAACACTTTTTGGTGCTTCAAATTTTTACATCATCAGTTTGGGGCACCAAAATATATATCATCTATTGGAGATGTTCTAGGAAGGTTTGTTAAACGCGGTGTAGGATATGTTCATGGACGCGCGTGTCCAAATTATTGACACCAAACCTGGGAACCTAATAATGGCAAACGTATAAAGAGTTACACGCAATTACACATTAATTAGGATTTTGTTTTTCTAACTAACTTCTCCCCTAATTTTCACAGGGTGGGTCCCTCTTTTCCCTTAATCTTCAATTAAACCCACCTGGCTAACCTCTCCTCCCAATTTTCACAAGGTGGGTCCCTCTTTCCTCTTAATTTTCAATTAAAATCCACCTGTCTAACCTTTCCCCCTAATTTTCATAGTGTGGGTCCCTCTTTCCCCTTAATCTCCAATTAAAACACACTTACCTAACCTCTTCCTTTAATTTTCAGAGGGCGAGTCCCTCTTTTCCCTTAATCTCCAATTAAAACCCATCTGCCTAATCTTTCCCCTTAATTTTCACAGGGTGAGTCCCTCTTTCCCCTTAATTTCCAATTAAAACCCACCTGCCTGTAAAAACTTTTTATACCTTATGTATGTGTAGAATTAGAGCATCTCCAGCCGTTCGCCCCCCAGGGGCTAGAAAAAAGCACCGCTTGGGGGGCTAATCAACGATAATTTTGGCATATGGGGCGATCGGGTTCCCAGCCGCCGCCCCCAGGTCGCCCTCAGACGTCCTTTTGTAAATATTTTTAAATACATATTCGGTCAAAATATGACAAACACGACATAGATTCGGCGATATGTAGAGCGTCCACAGTCTTTTTTCATATTGAAAACATAATCTACTAAAAAACTGATGTTGCCGTGCCTACAGATCGAAGAACTTGCTGAAGGCATCGTAGTCGTCGCCGCCACCGTCGTCGTCCTCCTTTTCTTTCTTCATACGGCGGCCGTCTCTACTGGACCCCTGCCCGAGGTCTCTACTGGTTTGGCCGGCGGTGGCGCGCCGTCGTCGCTGTCCTCGAGGACGATGACGCCTCCCTCGTCGCGTCCACGGCAGCGAGCGACGATCTCCACTAGGGCGCGACGCTGGCGCTCCATCTCTAGCCGGGCTCGAGCCCACTTCATGGCGCCATCATCGTCGAGTCCGACCATGTCACCCTGCTGACTCTTCATGACGGCAAGCACCGGCTTTGTCTTCAGCTTGACGAGACGGAAGGTAGGAGCCGAGGAGGCACGAGTACACCGGCCGAGCGACGTTTCCACGGGCTCAGCCTTGACGCTGACGAGCGCAGGCGACCCTGGGGAGTGGGAGAAGGAAC